TCCCTGAGGTGCCTAGCATCACAACGGACTATCACTGTGGTTGCTATGATTGAAGGAAGTGTTCCCCAAGTTTCTTATGGCGTTGGTCCAGAAAATGCTGCTCAATTGGATGATATCACTGAGAATGCTGTTTTATTGGATGGATCTCAGGCCTTCAAAGGGGCAGAGGAAAATGTTCCAATTTCTCAACCTCCTACTGCTATGGCAATTGAAGAAAGTGGTGATGTAATGAAAGTTGTAAAGCAATATTCTCCAGGTAAGAAAGCCAAAAAAAATATATATATGTTGTGGTCACTTCAGATAGGGTGACAAGGGGGAAAGTAGCTGTGCTAGTGGGGCTATCCCACTTTATTCCTCAGATAATAGGTTCTTGAAATGTGAGAGGTCTCAATAGTGCTTGAATGCAGGAGGTCATCCAGACTTGGACAAATTCTTCTAATCAGTCTCTTGTATATCTCATGAAACTAGAGTGAAATAGGTGAACTTTGTGAAACTTTCAAATAAAATTAAAGCCAGATGAAAGTGGATTGCTAATTTCCAATCTGATGGTGGGGGTAGAATTTGGTTGGGATGGAACTCCAATGTGTTAAATGTTACTGTTATCAAGGAAAATGCACAAAGGATGTTGCTGAAGGTAACATTTTTTGCTGCTAATCTGGTAGTGTTCCTTACCCGTGTCTATCCTGCTACAACAGTGGGTGATAGAAGGAACTTATGGCCAATTTAACTGACCATGGTCCTAATCCTAGGTCCTTGGTTAGCAATAAGAGATAGGAATGTTGTGAAGTTCTACCATGAAAAAGAAAGGGGGTTTGAGGATATCACAACTTGTTCTAGATGAATTTAATATGGTGCTTAACGCTGTTGGTCTTTGTGATCTCCCTGTTGGAAATGTTGATTGGGTTTGGTTAATAAACAGTTCATCAGGAGAAGGATACATCACAGACTAGACGGGTCTGATTAATGCTCCGTGGTTGACCATGTTTTCTGATTCCAAAGTTTTTTCTGACAGCAGCTTCTTTGTCTGACCATTATGGAATGATTATACATACTTTATTGGACTATGTGGAAGTCCCTAAACCATTTAGATTTCTTAAAATTTGATGTCTGCAGGCTGAAAAAGAAGGTGCTGTTGAGAGAACTTGGAGTGAGCATATCACTGGTAACCCAATTCCTTGTGTAATGAAAAAATTAAGGAAGAAATCAAGAAGTGGAACGCTCAAAAGGTTACCGTGATGTCACAGGCAGTTAGCTAGACAGCAGCTATGCTCTGTTTAGTTGCAGCTTCTTCATTATCCCTTAAATCTAGATTTAATTCAGTCTGAATTGGCGGCTAACTGTTTTTTTGAAGGTTGTCTTAAACAAGAGGAGATCCTTTGGGCTCAGAAGTCAAGGCTTAGTTTGTTAGAGGATAAGGATAGATGTTTCACATTTTTCCATAAGAAAGTGAAGCAAAGAAGAGGTTTCAATTCAATCAATGTTCTAGAAAATGCGAATAGTCTTAGTCTGCAGATGAGAAAACTGTGAGAGGATGGTTGGTGGACTGTTCTCACAAAGTGTAGAACCATGATACTCAATTGCACCCTCAGTTACTGGCCCCTAGATGTACTCTTGATGTTGGTAACTGTTAACAGAGATATGCTAGCCTAGAATCATGGGATTTGACTTACCATGTTAGCCGAGAATCAAAGGTAGATTGGAAGCACCGGTTAAAGTAGAGGAAACCAAGAGTGTTGTTATGTCCTTGAGCCCAGGTAAGGGTCCAGGGCCAGATGGTACCTGCAAAGTTCTACCAGAAGTATTGGAGGATAATTGGACCACATGTGATAACTGCAGTTCCATTTTTCTTGGAGAATCATGTCATGCCTTTGGGTCTAAATAGCACCTTCACAACTTTAGTCTTAAAGAGAGATTGAAGATAACTGATTACATACCAATTTCATTATCCAACACTTTGTAAGTGATTACTAAGATTATGGCCAACAGACTTGGGGCCTATTTGATAACGTTGTTCAGCGCTTAACACATAACACGGTAAGCGATTTATGAAAATAAGTGTGTTTGTCTACGATTTAGGCTACCACTTAAACTATTCCACACGGCTTAAAACAAGCCAAAATTTTAAGTGTCATGGAGGCCGCTAATCGCTTATCACATAACACGGTAAGTGATTTTAGGTTTTAAATATTTATTAATGTCAATTTTACCCCCAAATAATTTTGCATCTTCAGAGCTAGTCATGTTTAGTTTACTCCAATGTCTCAAAAGTTTCAACTAACATTGCTTATTTCTTCTCAAATAATGTGAATTCAAATAATTTAAACAAATATAAATAAAATAAACACTATATGGTTCACTTGAGTTTATAATCAACGCTCATGCAATGCAACCCCTCGCACCATTGTTATGATGTAAAACTACTATAAATAAAAATGTAACGATTTGGGCATGAATTCTAACCTCATTTTCATAAATATTTCATTTTCATAATTCATTCATTTCATATTATTTTATTTCAACTTATTACCAATTTTATTTACAAAATTTTATATTTGTGCTTGATTTACCTCTCAGTGGAGATTTACATAAAAGATTTTACATGTAATAGTTGGACGAGAACGCATTAGGTTTTGATCATCTCTTATACAAACAAACGTGGCAATATATCAATTATAGATTAAGCAGCTCAAATTAAAATAGTCGAGTGAAAATTGAATTGATATTGGCTTCCATCAAGATAACATAATTATTTCATGAATAGAATTATTTTCTACGTACCATCTTTACACGCATTTTATGTTTTGATTTTGATATTTTTATGATCTGACATTAATATTCATTGTCAAATTGATATATTACTTATTGGTGAAATACATAATTATATATATATATATAGTATCTTGTATAACAATATTATGTGTAGAAGATAATTGAGGGCAAAAATGTAACATGTACAACATTCAGATTTCAGCTCTTGCATTTAACAAACAATCTTAATGAATTCAGTACTTAAAAATTAGACAAAATCAAACAGGTTTTCAAATTAATACATTCAGCACTTAAAATTTCAGCACTTAAAATTCAGTACTTAACATTTTCAGTGCTTAATTTTCAGTTTTATCAAACAGCAACTTAGTGAGGTGCTTCATATTCTTGTTTTTCATGAGCAATCAGCATTCAGCAGAGGAAGGAAAATTCAGGACAACATGATTTAATCAAAAGCTTCAACCAAAAGAGAGGTAACTCCATCATGCTAAAGGTCGATCTAAAAGAGATCATGTAACTTGGGGATTTTTTTATTTTTATTTAACATTCTTCAATCTTATGGCTTTGGAGATCACTAGATTAGTTGGGTGAGGCAGTGTATCACACCAGTCAGATTCTCTGTGCTTGGTAACGGAGTTCTTTAGGGTTTCTTTACCAAAAGTTTGAATCACTAATCCAATTTTTTAGCTAAACTACTAAAATATATAAATGGTCAAGTTTCTTGAACCAAACTATAACCCTTTCTTACATGTGAATCTGTTAAAATTAAGAAAGCCATTTTTGGGCTTTTTACATGTGATACCTCCTTTGTTCAATGAATTATATAAGATATTTTCTTTTAGGACTTCTTAATTTTAGGTCAAGCTTGTCATTTAGATGGAAATACATTTTTTGTCATCTCAACATTCATATGGAGTAATGATCATTTAGTCCAGATGACCAATTTTGTGGCTGAAATTAAGGAAGAGATATTCAAGCTGAGAGAAGCAGCTTCGGCTTCCTCCTATTACGGATATATGCTTTCAGTTCCGTGTTTTTGTTGCATCCCTATTAGTCAGTGAGAAGGATTTGTTTATTGGGTTTTTGGATGGATAAGCAAAACTATGAATTTTTTAATTGAGAAGTTATTTAGGGGACTTCTGAATATTTTACCAAAACAGAAATTTTATGGATCCCTATTTTGAGGTTCTAGAATAGAAATTTACCATGTTATTGAATGTGCTCTACAACACACTAGGGTATTAGTGTTTTCTATCAATATATTTTTAAATAACTAAAGTAAGATAATTTTAATATATAAGTATTGGATATTGAACATATGCAAAAAACTTTAAAGTAAGCATGTCAGAAACGATTTATTGACTAAGGAAAGAAATTTTGATAAATTAATTTGAGAAGCGCATAACACTCGGACATCAATTTGAATCTTATTATGACCAGTAATTGTTTTCATGATATGGAACTTCTAGTTTTTAAAAAGAGAAGATATACAATCCCCTTAATGTCCAGTTCAATAATATGTTTGCAGTCATGGAATAGTACAAGATGTTCAGTCCTTATTTATGTCACTTTTGGAGTCATCCGTTCAAATTACAGCACCTAAATGGAGAAAGAAAGCATTAACAGAGGGCTACCAGCAGGTTGAGAATCCAAGAGAAGAAACTGACTGACTATAATGAGATTCGTCTTATAGAATGAGATTTGGGTCATGAGTTGGTAGGGATTTTGAAGAAATATGAGCTTCAAGTGAGCTATCAACAAGACTACAACAATCGTAAAGTTAATTAAGAGGAATGCTGGTCTTCATCAAATTACATCGATTGGTTCCACTGATATAACTGAAGCATAGTACGCAGAACTTTATTGTACTTGTCATTGCAGATTTTAAATACTAATTCAGAAATATTAGCTCTGATGATTCTCATACTCATGTATCGTGTGACAACATTCCTGAATTTGTTTGCATCAAAGAACAGGGAGGCAAGTCATTCCCTATCTACAGTATAACACCTCAATTTTAGCTAACAAAATAGTAGACATTCATACATTTAAAGTCACAGAAATATTAGCTCTGATAATTTTGGTATTGATAATATTCGTGCATCTTGCAACTACAGTCCCATATTTGTTTGGATTGGAGAAAATGGAGACAAGTCATTCCCCATACACAACCCAACACCCCATTTTCAGCTAACAAATCAGTAGACTACATTTAAAGTCAGAGATCAACTGACCTCAAGAACTTGAAGCTCTTCAGAAGCTTGCCTTAAAGGAGCCAGCACAATCTCAGGATCTGCAGGAACTGGATAGAAAATATCAAATATATTAGAAACTTAAATAAGGAGTGAATACAAGACTATAGTACTAATTGCTCATCATTTTGAGGCAGTCTGGGCTTTGGGAGGTGGTGGGGTTCAAGAGTCTATTCAAAATCATCTTGGGATTTACTACAAAAACACTTTTGAGAATGAACCAATCACAAGTTATATTAACTCTGGATGATCAAAAACTTATCAAGGAAAAACCAGCAAAAATCATATAGCAATCTTCAGATCATATTGCCTTTTGGATCTAGTCAACAACCAGCAAAAGGTTTGAAACTGGTATTGCATTGGTAATTATTAGAAGATTAAACTGTCAGCCTCTCATAAGTGGTTTCCTTGCCTCCTTATCTAAGGTGGCATTTGGTTCAAGATTCACAACATGCTGGCTATTATAGTTTCTCTCTAAAAACGATTGTGCATTAGTTTTTTTTTCTTAGTTGGTACTCACACACACATGCCTCCACTGAGGCTTGAACCCCGACCTCCCTTTGGGACGTAAGGGCCTAATACCACTAGGCTACTGGCCCATTGGTGATTGTGCATTACGTAACATGCTACAACTTATAAACAACATAAAGTCATAAATATATCAATTTAAAACAATACTAAGTGTGCAGAAATACTGATATAGCTAGGTTTATGAAAGTCTAATCACATCTGCAAATGTCAGCAATTAAACAGATATCCGGACTGGACATTTGAGGACCTAATGCAACAATATATATATACATACATATATATATATATAGTGTGATAGTACCGCAACAGTGTATAAGATCACAAAAGCCTGACATGTTCCACTTACACTTGGCATATTATTTATCATTATCAATGTACAATATTGCAACATCCATATTCATTCTGAGACGTGTGCTCAATGGAGGAAAAAAAAAAATTTATTAGATCACCTGAAAAGCTTGGGTCAGATAGGTAACATTTTGCTTCTGCAATGTAGGCCCGAGCACGAAGCTCCAAACCTCCATGACTAAGAATCATTGGGAAAGCACCATGTACAAGGGTTAAAGCCCGTTTTGCATGGTTTGATCCAAGTGAGAGCCACAACTCAGAAAGTGTTAGCATAGCCGAGGCTTTGAGAAGATCCAAGTTAAACGACTGGCAATATGAAAGGCTTGCTAATGCATAGGGAATTCCTAAAACAGCATTGCCCGACTTCTGATAACAACAAATAAGAGAAGTTTTAGCTTTGCAACATTTCAATTAAAAACCAAAAAGAAAAAAAGATAAACAAACAATCAGAAACAAATGTAGAGATACTGGCCAATAGCTTCATAATGTGAAGCATGGTGCATATGTTATTTAAGGGTCAAATGTTCTATTTGTTTCACAAACAGATTATGCAACAATTTAATCTACAAATACTTTATAGTAATTCAAACTATTAACTGGAGATCACATTTCATGAACACATATATATAATATATATTCTCATGTTGCTTTCAAGATTCACCCCTAGATTTTTCATTTTAGTTCATTGAGTATAATTTTCTGTAACAATATTAGATTCCACCTGCAATTGCAACCTACAGCAACACTACAGGTTGCCCACTGAGGAAACTAGCTGAAACACTCTAGCACAACATCCAATTCGATCTCTAATTATTTTACCTTGTGGATCTCAGCAAGTAAGAGAAGAACAGTAGCATTCTGAACCTGCAGATTGAATTTGTAGCACACGCAGAAGAGGGAGTGTGCGACAGCTGCTGCCTGCAAAGAACATCATGCATCAGAATGGCTAGAAAAACTTATACAACATAAAGAAACAAATCGTTTCTAATACCTCCCAACCAGAAATTATCACTTTAGAGAGCATTACTAATATAATCTCATCCATTATAATGCCAAACAGTTGAATTCTATCAAACAAAGCTACGGTTTTTATTTGCTAGTTATATAGAGACATACATATATATCATACAAATTGGATATATTGGTGTAAGAAGCCAAAGAAGACGGATAGCCCAAGGATTGTAAAGTACTCCCCAGTGAAAGTCTCACAAACAAACAGACTACTAGTCTTAGACTTATTAATTAATGGATTTAAATATAAGAAAACAATGAAAGGTCATCAAATATAAAGTGGAAAGAACTAAAAACTAATATATATATATATATATATATTATTTAGAGAGAGAAAAAAAAAAAAAAAAAGCAATGAAATTTTAATGATGACATAAATAAAGTATGGGAGGAAATGACAAATTATATTAGAATGTGGCAAAGGAAATTTTGGGGGAAACCAAAGGAAATAAATTTATAAAAAATGAAACATGGTGGTGGAGTGATGAACAACAAATATTACAATAAAATAGATAGAGTTTCAAAGATTGGCAAAAAAGTACGCAACAAGAAGATCTAGAAAAGTATTAAACATTAAAAACTGAAGCTAAGAAAATATAAGTAAAGCTAAAAAAAAAAAAAAAAAATTAAGTGCGACACCTATTAGATAAAAGTTTAGAGAGAGTAGGCTTAGGTGGTATGGACACATACATAGAAAACATATAGATGCACCGGTGAGAAGAGGAAGGTTAATTTGTATAGAGGGTAGGGTGCGGAGAGGGTGCCCGAAATTAACATGGGATGAAATCATTAGATATGATTTTTTTTTTTTTTTTTGATAAGTAATAATGAATTAAAAAAGGTGTTCAAAAGGGGAACACATCCCTTAAACAGTAGTGGAACTGGGGGCGAAGGCCCCAAAGAATCCAAAATAGTAATTAAATCATCAAAAGAGGAGCAAGAACTCCTCTTCACATAACTAAAGAGAGAACAAAAAATAAAAAGTTTCAGCGTCGCCGTAGATGACTCCTTCCCTTCGAACAGTCTACTGTTTCTCTCCTTCCAGATACACCACCAAACGCAATGTGGGACAATTCTCCAGTAATCGCGTACACCCCTACTCACACGACATCCTCTCCAAGCATAAATCAAATCCTTAGAAGAACGTGGCATTACCCAACACATGCCAAACAACCCAAGAATAAGATTCCAACAGTTGTGCGCCACGGGGCAATGCATTAGGAGATGATCAACTGACTCCCCGTCTTGCTTGCATAGGCAGCACCAATTAACAAAACAATTTCCCCTCTTCCTCAAATTATCAATCGTCAGTATCTTACCCTAATTTTAAAGAGTAAATTATTAAAGGATAGATGGCAAGTAATAGAATAGAATGGAAAAATAGAATTCATGTGGCCGACCCCATTCATATGGGATTAAGGCATGGATGATGACAATGATTCTTGTAATGAGTAATTAGCAGAAAATTATCACGTGGGAAATAGGTTATTATTATTATTACTGTAAATCTTACTTAATATACATATAATATATGGGTGTATAATTTATGAAAAAAAATTTATGGGTGTATAGTTATTAGAACATTTACAACCCTTCTTTACATCCGTTGTCATCCATTATCTCTCTTCTTTCTTCAAACTCTAATCATCCGAAACCTAAAAACACAATGAATTTTGAATTTCAACTATTCTGTGCCACATCAATTAAGAACTGCCCTCCTTAAGTTTGAGAAATATTTCTGTGATGTGTACTCACTCATAACCACTCTAGTGACCATGGTCTTTTACAAATTTGGACATAAACATGGCTGCCACTAACTGTAATATAGTTGATGAAGATAAAAGACAGCAAGAGTCACAAGGGCAATCAATTCAATAGCCGACAATGCCTAAATTCACGTATCCATGTCTCAACTAATGAACTCCATCTTGAAGAGGTTGCTTCCAGGTTTAAGTCGATACATAAAATCTCTTTCTAAACATATCAGTATATAACCTGTTATACAATCTAACACTTTATTCCCAATTGAAATAAATTCCTCAGTAATCTTTACAGGAAATTTATGCTACATTCATCAGCAGCAACACAAACAAAAGCAACATAAATGCACTTAAAAGTAACATGGGATACAGCATAACAAATAGCACTATTGGAGACTCACGCCTTTCAGAGTACGGTTGAGGATTGCTACTTTATCTTCATCAAGATGAAACAAGCAAGTTATATTTATGAAAAGAAAGGTAAATTGAAAATATTTGACCTGGCTAAACTGGTTTGCGGCAAGCAATGTCCGAGCATGGCGAAGGCTTGATTCTGTCTTCAGCTCCATGTCCACACCAGTTACAGGAGACGCCAAAACTCCAAGCTCATCACATAATTGTTGAGCTAGTTTCAGGTGCCCCCTGCAACATACTCAACATCATAGGAACGTGAAAGAAAGATGGTATGAACCAGTAAATATCAAGATTTCAACATGTACTCAAATAGACATCAAACATTGCAGGTAATAAGTTACCTATGCAAAGCACGTTCATGAAGCAACTGAAGTTTTAGTAGCAGGATTCGTGACTTTGAAATGGATAAGAACTTTTCTTCTGCCATTTTAAGAGCAGCAAAGGCTTCTAGAGAAAAAATAATACGAAATAAGGTCATCCAAAGTAAGTATGAATATGAATATGAGCTACTGTGGGATTTAGTGGGAAGAATTGTATTTTAAAGCTAAGGAACTCAAGAGGAAACATTGTGACAACAAAGCAACATAAATATGACGATATTTCTTACCATTGAGTTTAGCAGGAACAAGCAAAGAATGTTGAAGTTGAGAGTTTCTTTTGGTGTAAGTAGCTGATCAACATTTAATGGAAGAGAAACTAAAATCTGGGTTCATTTTGCTGGCCTTTTTCAAATTCTGGAAAATATAACTCTAAAATGGGTAATAGAAAAAGAACTTGTTATAACTTCTATTATTATAGGAAAAGTGAGCATGTAAACAAACAAGTACCATTCTTTTCCTTCTCCTTTCTTTTCTTCTTGGTTTGTAGGCTGAAAACAGAATATTTTCTGTTTACATCATAATTATACAGGAGTAAGTTTCTCATTATACCAATGCCTCTTTATTATTAATTTATAGATCATCATCATCATCACCATCATCCTTGCCTTTATCCTGTACAAACGAGGTCAGCCACATGGATTTTCTGTCTCCACTCTTTACTATCATAAGCCATATCTCCTACTAGATTAAATTTTTTAAAATATTTTTTATCACTTCATTCCATGTTTGTTTTGGTTGCCCTCTTTGTCTCTTGCATACTATACAAGTTAATCTTCCTCTCCTCACGGGTGCATCTAGAGGTTGGCGTTAAATATGCCCATACCACCTAATTCTACTCTCTCTTATTTTCTCACTAAAAGGCGCCGCATCTAATTTCTCCCTAATCCTTTGATTGTTAATCTTATCTTTCCTATTTACTCCTAACCATAGTTGTCAAAGGCGCCGGAGGCGCAAGGCGCCTCCAGGCGCCATCTCAGCGCCTCTAGAACCTTAAGGCGCATGGGTTGCAGAAGGCGAGCGCCTTTTCTCTACAGGCGCAAGGCTAAAGGCGATATAAAGGCGCGCCTGATGGAAGTTGTAATATTTTAACTTTTGTTTGTTTATTGACTTTATTGATTTGTTTTATTATTTTATTGTTTCTATTTTATTACTTTTATAACACATTGTTACCACATTAAAAAAACAAAAAACAAAAGAAGAACAAACACCAAAACAAAGTCGGAGACAGAGGTCACAGAGGCGACGACTTGGACAACAGTTACTCTCGGTCTCGGATCTGTCATCTGTGTCGGATCTGCTGGATCTACGCCGTCGGCGACACCGCGACTCTGCCGGTACGTTCTCTCTCTTCTTCTTCTCTCTCTTCTTCTTCTCTTCTTCTTCTCTCCTCTTCCTTCTCTTCTTCTTCTCTCCTTCTCTTCTCGGATCTGTGATCTGTCTCAATTTTTTTTTTTTTTTTTTTTTTTTTTTTTTTTTTTTTCTCTCGACCGACTGTAGAGTCGAGTTTGGCAGTTTTTTTTTTATTTATTATTATTATTATTTTTTTTCTCTATTTTTTTATTTTATTTTTTTTCTTGAGTAGCTATTAAGGTACAGAGAAGAATTATAAAACCATCAGGAATTCTATATGTATATATATAGTTCTGATTTATAAATTTCAAGGTTAACAAGGTGAATGAAATTATTTGATAACTAAATCGAACCATATCATAATTCATAGCACTGAAGTATCAAGTTAGTTGTTGGTATATAATTGACATAAACAAGAAAGTTGGAACTTTAAAGAGGGAAGTAGATTGGTTAAAGCTTTTTGTAAAGAACCTCATCATTCAATTACCCCAACAGATTGATTCTAACCTTTATTTTGGGCAAGTGACAATCATTTCATATGCCACTTTCTCAAAAGATCAAGAATTCAAAATGCGATTACCAATTACTCTGTTCAAAGAAACTTTTTACTTTTATAGATTAATTCATATATTAAGTTTTCTTTTATTTAGGAATTGATGACCAATTAAGATCACATGTTTTTTTTTTTTTTTTTTTTATGAAAAGAAATTGTTATATATGGATGGAATTGATGAAGGGGCCGGGGAGAGGAGAGTGGAGACTCTGGACTGTGACAAATTTATTATGTTGCTATTTTAATCTTAAAATAACAGTTGCTAAACTTGCTATTTTATTTTTTATTTTTTTTTGGATTGTTGTAGCCTGTATGTGACAGATAGAATGTAATTCTTTTTCTTGGTTACGGATACCCAAAAAAAAAAAATTTATTGAAATCAGAAGGTATTTAATTGATTTTCTTGTAACATTTGCAGAGGAATACAAAGCTTCTAATCTATACAGAATTTACATAACACCAAAATACCAAATACAGAGAGATAGACTGATAGAGAGAAGAAGTTGTCCAGTTAACAACTAACACCAAATTGAAGTCAAATTTATTAACATCAAACTTAAGTTACTTAACACTGAAATACTGAATCCATAAAAATTAGCTCCAAACCGATCTATCAGCTCTCTCCACGTAGAGAGTGACTGTGAGTCTGTGACGGATCTATTTCCCAATTTGAGCCAACACATTCTGCAGTTACTTTGCTTAATCACAATTGCAGCCAAATTGTATGCATGTATTTGTTCCATTGAATCATTCTAACATGTTAAAATGAAATAATTAGTGAAGTGTACTCTAAAGTCTAAATTATAAAAGACAATCGCAAATTGTAAATAGCAACTGTTTACTGTTATATTATTTTCATATAATATAATTAGGTTCTATTATTGAAAGTATGTTTAGTTGTTATAGTTATAGAATGAATCATGGTGCTTATAGTTATAGAAAATTAGATTGATTTGCAGCTTACATAATTTCTATTGAACTTGATTGTAGTTTGAACTTTAAAAGATGCCTAGTGAAGGTTCAAGAAAGGATCCGGCATGGAATTACTCACATTTGGAGAATCCGAAAGATACAAATGCCGTCACTTGTAACTTCTGTGCAAAAGTTACAAAAGGAGGTATTTATCGGGCTAAGCAACACTTAGCTGGAGGATATAGAAATGTGAGTGCATGCACAAGATGCCCATCTAGTGTTAGAGAAGAAATCAAAGAGTACATGAGTAAGAAAAAGGAAGAAAAAGAACAAATGAATTTGTTACCTAGTGATGAGATTAATTTCATTGATGGAGAGGATGAGGATGATGTCATGGAAGTTAGCAATCGGGGAAAAAGGGTAGCTAGTGCAGGCAGTGCTAGTGTCAATTCCTCAAAGATGCAAAAGCAAAAGGGACCGATTGATTTATATTTCACTCCCAGACCGGAAATTGTGGTACAAAAAAGAAAGGAAGGGGGAAAACAAACAGCCATTAATGATGCATGCAAGAAAGAGTTGAGAGGAAGAGCGTGTGCTGCTTTTGCAAGGTGGATGTATGATGCAGGAATTGCATTCAATGCTGTTAAGTATGATAGCTTTGCCGAGGTTGTTGAAGCAATTGGACAATATGGTCCTGGCATGAAACCACCTAGTTATCATGAGGTGAGAGTTCCTTTGCTTAGGAAGGAATTGGATAATACCAATGCTTTGATGAATGACCATAGGGAGGAGTGGTCAAAATTTGGATGCTCATTAATGGCAGATGGATGGACAGACAAGAGAGGGAGAACATTGCTTAATTTCCTAGTAAATAGTCCAAGGGGAACCATGTTTATTGAGTCGATAGATACTTCTTCTTTTTCAAAGGATGGTGACAAGATGTTTGACTTGCTTAATAAATTTGTGGATGGTGACAAGATGTTTGACTTACTTAATAAATTTGTGAACCGCATTGGAGTAGCAAATGTCATCCAAGTCGTCACAGATAGTGAGTCAAGCAATAAGTATGCCGGTAAGAATGTTCAATGTTTATAACTTTTAGAGTTTACATTCTTTACAAATATATAATTTAAATCAACTTTGATTTACTCATTCTCTTTATATCATTTTTTCTTTTTTCCGTTTGGTTTCAAATAGGGAGGATGTTAGAGAAAGAACACCCACATTTGTATTGGACCCCAAGTGCTGCTCATTGCTTAGACTTGATGTTGGAAGACATTGGGAAAATACCGTCCATCTCTAGAACAATGCAAAGGGCAGTGGAGTTGAATAGTTATATTTATATGCGACCAAAGTTGTTGAACATTATGAGGAACTTTACTCACAAAAAGGAGTTGCTTAGGCCTGCTAAGACTCGATTTGCTACATGTTTCATCACATTATCAAGTATTCACAAGCAAAAGAATAACTTGAGAAAGATGTTTACTTCAGAAGAATGGAATCGTAGTAAATGGGCGAAAGAGGAAGCCGGTAAAAGAGTTGCTTCTTATGTTTTGATGCCTTCCTTTTGGAACAACATTGTCTTTAGCCTCAAGGTTTCCGGTCCTCTTATTCCGGTTTTGAGATTAGTTGATGGCGAGAGAAAGCCTCCCATGGTATACATTTATGCGGCTATGGATAGGGCTAAAGAAGCCATTGCAAAATCATTTGGGGGAGTAGAAGATAAATACTCAGATATTTTTGAAATAATTGATAAGAGGTGGAATGTTCAACTTCATTGCCCTTTGCATGCAGCAGGTTATTATTTGAACCCAGAATACTTTTATTCAAATTCGAAAATTGAAGAAGATGAAGAGATTGCAAAGGGTTTGTATGCATGCATTGCAAGGTTAGTCCTGGATGTCAAAGACCAAGACAAAATTACTGAGGAGCTGTCCTTATATTCTAAAGCTGAGGGCCTCTTTGGTAATCCCTTTGCTATTAGACAGAGAAGTACACGAGGACCAGGTAAAGTGGTAAAGTATATTAAGTTAGTATAGCTAAGTGTTAAAATTATTTTGACAATAGAGTCGATAGAAAGATGAAGCTAAAGTTGCTAAACATCATTATTAATTTTTTTTTAATAGCTAATTGGTGGGAAGCTTATGGCAAGTCAACAAAACTTCTCCAAAAGTTTGCTATAAAGGTTTTAAGCCTTACTTGCAGCTCTTCTGGTTGTGAACGAAATTGGAGCGTGTTTGAGCATGTAAGTATATACTATTTAGTATTTACTAACTAGGTTTGTAATTTAATTGTTGAAAATTAAAATTTTAATTTTTTATACTTACTAGTTAAAGTTGAATTTATTGCAGCTTCATAACAAGAAAAGAAATAGGCTCGCTCAAACAACGTTGAATGATTTAGTGTTCATCAAATATAATAGAGCATTGAGGCGTCGATATAATATGCGTGACACTCTTGATCCCATTTTACTCGATGACATTGATGAGAGCAACGAGTGGTTGACGGGGAGGATGGATGATTCTGATGCAGAACATGATCTAGTCTATGAAGATGATTCCTTGACATGGGGTGATGTTGCTAATTTTGCTGGTATTGGAGAGGCAAGCAGGCCGCAACGGTCTACTAGATCAAAATCTAGTTCTAGTTCACGGTTACCAACAAAGGGAGCAGGAAGTTCTTCAGTTCGACTTGTGGATGAGGATGAGGATGATTCAGATGAGATAGAAGAGGATCCTGAGAATTATGAATCATTTAGTGACGATCAAAATGATGTTATGCTTATTGATGACGAGGATGATATTTAGATTCATTGGTGTTGTCTTCTTAGGAAGAATGATGTTTATGTTTGTTTTAGTTTTATCTTATACTTCTCCTTAGTTGACTTTTGCATCTTTATGTTAATATGTTTAATTATTCACTGTTTTGAACTCAAGTACTTGATTTACTTGGTTTTGGCATCTTTATGTTGAATATTTAACTTAAGTAATTCATTTAGTTGACTTTTACATCTTTCTATATACTATTGCATGATTTGCATCTTTAATACTTTATTGGGTGGGTTTTGTTTTTTTTTTTTTCCAACGTGCGCCTTGCTTCAGTCGGGCGCGCGCCTCGCCTTGCGCCTTGCGCCTCAGGCTCCAGGAGGCATTTGCGCTTTTATGCGCCTTGAGCCTTTAACAACTATGCTCCTAACATTCATCTTAACATCCACATTTCCCCTAAATGTATGCATTGTTCATATTTCTTTTTTATCGCCTGTTGAAGGATTTATATATTTAAGTTACACCCTCTCTAACAGCTTAAGCTTTTAGAGTAGATGGTAGTTAACATGGTATCAGAGCCAAAAGTCTCGAGTTCAAACCTCACCGTCACACTAATAAAAAATTGAAAAACACGTGTTGGACCAAAAGAAGGCCACACGTGAGGGGGCATGTTGAAGGATTTATATATTTAAGTTACACCCTCTCTAACAACTTAAGCTTTTAGAGTAGATGGTAGTTAAAATCGCCCAACATTCTGCTCCATATAAAATAGCCAGTCTTGTGACTGTTCTATATACTTTCCCATTTAATTTATTTGGCATTCATTTATCACATAATACCCCACCAGCATTCCTCCACTTTGTCCAACCAATTCCAATTCTACCACCTATATCATATTATCAATTTATAAATGAATGAGGCAAATCTAATCCCTCTGTTAGAGAAATACAGGGGATGTCAGAGGAAATTCACACAATTTGTCCTATCCCTAAACTTCATCTTAACAAAGGCATTTCTCTTTCAGTTTTATAACTAGTGTGATAAGATATGTATACAAGGGTGAATATCAACGCATTATCCAAAACCTTTATAGGTTTAGATGCACCTATTGAATTGAGTTGAGGAAATAACAAATACCAGTTCCCTCTCTAACCTAGTTTTATCTTCTTGTTCATTTTGAATGTTTTTATTTTTTTCAATATATACAATGGTATAAGACCATTTCATTAGGACATTTTCCATAAATGCCCTTCTGCTAGTTAAATGTTACTACCTCCGTCCCAAAACTCTTGTGTCTTTTGGGATTCCAATTCCTTGACATGCATTTTCTATTTTGAAATTTCCAACATGCCATTGTTAGTTGGAGAAGCTTTCCAAAGTTAAGGATATTTTGGGTAATATACAACCTTTTTAAATTCATGAATTTTTGGGACAGAGGGAATATAAATTTCCTTCATTTTGGGGGTGGAGACAAAATAAAAATGATAAATGAGCACCTCCATGCAATTCATGCTCATCTTGAGAAGGACTTTTAGATCTATTGTGGATGAGGACTACCTAATCAATCATATCTCAATAGTTTATTGTAAGGAAGATAAGGACAGATGGCAAGTCTTATCCTATATCTATAGAATTAGATGTGTGTATAACAGTATAAGTATAATAGTCAGCACTGTACTGTATTAAGGAAATCATGAATATTGGCTCCCCCCCCCATGGATGTAGGCCTTCAAGTCAGAACCATAAAGATACTGTATTTTTCTCCCATGTTCTTTCATTTCCAAGTTTTCTTTCAGTATTTATTACTCCCCAAGCATTCTCTACATGTTCTCTTATTCCCCTCTTCTTGGCTCTTAAATTCTTCTCTTTTATGTTAATCTTCTATAATCAATTCACAACAAATTTTATGCTGTTTGATATCCTGATGCAGCACTTCTTAACAACTACAAATAATGTTGTCTATAACCACTTATCTGAAGCGCAAAATGTACTGGTTGCTGTTGGAGAGATTTTCGCGGTAGAACAGAAGTATATGTTTCATAGAAGGAATGAGAATAGAGTAGAAGAAACCTATGTGAAAAGTTGGCAAGATGATCTCAACTTTTTTGTCAATTAATAAGTACTTCATATTAACTCCCAAAATCACAACAAATGGAATGGTTTACAATTAAAGAAAAAACAGAAACTCATAGAAATTGTAAAGGTCCATGCTTCCTAAAATAGTCCAACATTAAATAGTGACAAATCAACCCGTGACAAACAGAAACTCAATAATTTTATATTAAAAAATGTGATTTGTGTCATGCCCAAATCCCTAGTTTTGACTTAATGACCTCCGGTGTATCTTTTAGACAAAATTCGAGAGGCCACTCAACTATGAAGCATGGACACGGATACAACATGATACTCATACAACAAATTCTTAAAAAATATGATACAATTAGCCCAAAATTTATCCGTGTAATATAACTTCAAAGTCTCATCTTGTTTATCATAACAACATTGTAGCACAACATAAACAATCATTATTCAAATTTATCCATATATAAATATGTGTAGATATTGATTTTATACAATCTACATTTCCAAATAAATTTTGAACTTCTCTTAACAACTATACTTCAATATTATTCATTCAAAAGTTACATTTTAAAGTTCAAAACTTGTTAAATATGTGTTCCACAATATCTGAGAGGTATCAGACACGTGATTGAAGTATCAGATACGTTTAAGAAATAAAAATACAAATATATTAAAATTATGGATACGTTTTAAATTATCGCACACGTATCCATGCGTATTCGAGGAGTTTCGATATCCGATGTGCAGACAATGCAAGTACACCACTTAGAGAAGTAACCATACATTTTCACATGTTCTGACTTCTGACCTGCCAGATCCTTCAATTTTTTATTATTAATTTTTTTTTTTCCCCAAATAGATCCTTTAGTCTTAATAATCATAAATCAGAACATAATATCTTAAATCCATATTCATAGTTAGGGTAGGAATGAACTCAAGGATTCTAGTTCCTTAGTAGATTCTCAAACAAAAGCACGGTATAAATTTTTTTTTTCTTCAGCTCTTTTTCAAATGAAGGGCCTATCTGTAAATAAGCAATTTCACTTATCCAATGTCATTAAATGATTTCATTAAATATGAAAAAGAACAACATGAAACTATTAAAATTGTATAGCTTTTGGTTGTAGCTACTGAAGAGTGTGCTTGGCCCATTTTGAGCCATGAATATAAAATCTAAAACTTGTACAAAAACCATCTCAATTGTGAATTCAATGAAAATAAAGCAGCAAAAAACACTTTGCTCCTATCAATCCATTAGAACTGCCTATAATTTGATATTAATAGAGAATATCTTAATAGACAAAGAGCAAGAGGGTCATGATGACGGTGATGCTTCATGAAATTGAGAATTTAATTATTAGAACCCAACAGCAGCTAGAGAACTCTGAGATGGTTTAAGCAATTACTTTTTATAAAAACTCCAGGTGACAAACACATGTATAAAAAAATGCAGGAAAAATACAGTGCTCTAACAGAGAGAGACAAGATACTTTATATTCAAGCATTTAACCTGACCTTTGTATCCTTTAAAAACTGCTAAATGTTGGATAAGCTTGGCATATGCCAATGCAATGTCTGCAGAACTGTATAAGACAAGAAAAAAAAAAAAAAAAAAAGCCAATTCCAGGTTAAATAAGTTGCATACATGATGAGTCGTACAATAGAGGAAAATAAATATCATGGTTAAGCAGCAGAATAAGTAAAAGTCGTGATATTTTAGCTCACAATTACCTAGACGAGTCAGCAAAGCAAGTTGCATAAACCAGTGCATTTACTCGAGCAAGAGGGGCACTGAAGAAAGGGAAAATGAAGTAGAAAATGTCAATTAAACCAGAGAGACAAAACTGAATAAGCATTTTAAGACAATCAAGCAAATATGTCATGTAGCATTAGAAGTACAACTAGAGAACTCTGGAACACATTAAAGAGCTACTAGCAATGAAATAGGCATAGAAGTATCTCGTAAATAAGGAGGTAAAAGAGCAGAGCTAATTCGATGTTGAAGATGATTAAGCTTGCCTCAATCAAGTATCCTGGAGCTCAGCTAAACTTCCAGAGTTGTTGATTGAACTTAGCTCAAGAATGTCGTCAAGCTGATTGGATCAGTTGGGAATGGTTTGTTGGCTGGAGATAAAGGCAATGTGCTGCCATGGCACCAGTAGACATTTTTTATCAAATAACCCATGGTATTGACGACTTGTTGAGCACTTATAGGTTAGAACCACCAGCTATGAGTCAGTTTCTGAGCAACATGACTTATTTGTAGTATTAAAAATTCAATTGAAGAATTTGTACTAGGTTCCAAATAAACCGGCCATATGATGAACCAGAAGACTGTCTCCATCACTTCTCAGGAAAAGCTCAAAGTCAAAAAAGGCCATTGCATGTTCATATATTTACAGGTTTACCCTATTATACAAAATTGACTTTACCTCGTTTTTGAAGCAACTATGGCGTTATTTGAGATTCAATTAAGTTCTTAAACCAATAAGTTTTTAGTGTTTTCTCCATTAGAGCATTTGATAATCCATCTGTTATCTGTTGTTTGCGGATGATACTTTGGTATTTTGTGATGCCGATGTTTCCCAACTCAGATATTTGAGGTGCATTCTTGTTTGTTTCCAAGCGGTTTCTGGGCTAAAGATTAATGTTGGAAAGAGTATGCTTGTCCTGGTGGGGGATGTTCCAGATATTTCCTCCTTAGCTGTAGTTCTTGGGTGTGGGGTGGGTGCTTTTCCTCTTCCTTATTTGGGATTGCCTTTGGGGGTTTCCTCTAGGAGGGTGGGGAGCTGGGATCCAGTGATTAATAGGTATGAGAAGAGGTTGGCAGGATGGAAGAAACAATATTTGTCGAAGGGGGGGAAGGTCACTTTTATTAGGAGTACTCTCTCGTCCCTTCCCACTTACTTTTTATCTTTGTTTCAAATCCCATGCTCTGTCACTGAAAGGATTGAAAAAATTCAAAGGGACTTTCTATGGGGTTGGAAGGGGAGAGGAGAGTTAGCGTGTACAACTGTTATCTATTAGCTGTTGTTATCTATTAGCTGTTATCTATTAGCTGATGTTATCTATTAGCTGTTAATGTATTAGCTGTCAAATTAATTGTATAGTTGACTTACCTTGAATAGGTCTGTGTATTCTGTATAAATATCCTTGAGATATATGAAAGAAATACACCTTTTTTCAGCCATTTATCAATTTGGTATCAGAGCAAAAAGAAAGGAATTTCCACTGCTTTCTTTTCTTTTCTTTTCTATTTTAACCTTACTTCTAAAGACCTGCAACAGCCGTCAGCTATCTTCTTTGTGCTGTTGCTGCTTGTCTTCAATACCTCTTAGCCACGATCCATGGCAGCCAAAACAGCCACTGATTCTTCCTCTCTAACCGAAAATTCATCTGACAACAAGAAGTCCTCCACGATGACTATTCACGAAACTTCTTCTCCCATTCCTATTAAATTGGATGCTGCTAATTATCGTGTTTGGTCTCAGATTTTGGACATGCATATTGCTGGTAGTCAGAAAAAGGGGTATATCACATCGAGAAAGGCTGCACCTGTAGAGGATGATCCAAGCTATGATGAATGGGAGGCTGAAGATGCCCTAGTCAAGTCTTGGCTTATCAATTCCATGACGGTTAATCTGATGTCCCACTTTATGCAGTGTGGAACAGCCAGGGAGGTTTGGGATGCGGTAAAGAGAAGCTATGTTGATGTCTCTGATTCTTCTTAGGTTTATGAACTGATGAAGAAGTCCTTTCAATTGCGTCAGGATGGTCGGCCTCTTGTAGAGTACTACAATAAGCTGAACTCAATCTTCAAGGAACTTGATTATCGAAGACCAAATGATATGACGTGTGCAACTGATATTGAGAAACAGAGGAAGCATATTTCTGAGGCTCGGGTCTATATGTTTCTTGCAGGTTTGGATCACAGTTTGGATCAAGTTAGTAGTCGTGTTCTAGCTACCTCACCTTTACCAAGCCTCGAAGAAGCATATTCTCTAGTTCGTCGTGAAGCACAGAGACAGGTCACCATGGCAATAAAGAATCACTCCGAGGCCTCGGCTCTTGCTATCCAAAAGAGTTCCTGACCAGCTCCTCTTTCTACCGACTCTACTTCTCGTCTCTGCACTCACTGCAATAGTACGAGACATACGGTTGATGTTTGCTGGAAGAAACATGGTTATCCGGAGTGGTTCAAGCTTAAGCAAGCTGAGAAGAAGAACAAGAAATTTGCTCAGGTTGCTATCATCGAGACTTCTCCATCTTCTGCTTCTCATGTATCTCGAGTGTCTTCTCAAGGAGGTAATTCTGGTTTGGCTTTTATTTCTACTGCTTCTAACACTTGAGTTATTGATTCAAGGGCCACTGATCATATGACTAGTAACTCTTCCATACTTGACTCTCTAATACCTTCACCCGTTAAGTCTGTTCAGGTTGCTAACGGGACTCCTATGCCAATTACAGGGGCTGGGAAAGTCTCACTTTCTCCTACATTCTCCATGTCTTCAGTTTTACTTGCACCTAATCTCTCTAACAGCCTTCTTTCCATTAGCAAAATTACCAAAAATCTTAATTTTCTGTAACTTTTCATTCTACCCATTGTGTGTTTCAGGACAATCTTACGAAGATGACGATTGGCATTGGTAAGGAGAGAGGAGGTCTTTACTACTCAGAGAAGGGGGTAAGGGAGTTAAAATCTGAACCTAGCCGTGGTTTTCAAGTAAAGAGAGAGTCTGACAGAGAGAAGATATTTTTATGGCATTGTCGTTTGGGCCATCCATCTTTCTCTTATTTAGAACGTTTATTTCCTAAGTTATTTGCAATATTTCTGCTTCTAGTTTAGGGTGTGAACAATGCATTTATGCTAAAAACCATCATGTTCCTTTTGAAGTGAGTTTCAATAAAAGTCCTATTCCTTTTTCATGTGTTTACACAGATGTGTGGGGTCCTTTTTCTACTCCTTCTGCTTCGGGCCATAAATACTTTGTATCTTTTATTGATGAATGTACTAGAGTGAGTTGGGTTTATTTGCTAAAATCTAAGAGTGATGTTATACATGTTATTCCTCAGTTTTACGAAATGATTGTCACCCAATTTCATACTCAGGTTCAGGTTTTCCATTCTGACAACGGTGGTGAGTATGTGAATCAGTCTCTTACTGATTTCTTCAAACAACATAGCATCCTCCCCAGACAACGTGCGCCTACACGCCACAACAAAACGGCATAGCAGAGCGTAAGAATCGTCATCTCTTAGAGGTGGCTCGTACCTTATGCTTTACTATGAATGTTCCTAAGCATTTCTGGGCCGAGGCTGTCATGACTGCTGTTTTTCTTATCAACCGAATGCCTTCTCGTATAATTAAATATCAAACTCCATTGAGAATGCTATCCCGATTTCACTCTATTCCTTCTACACTTAATCTTTGTCTTAAGGTTTTTGGTTGTGTGTGTTATGTTCATATACATTCTCTTCATAGGGATAAGCTTGACCCTCGTGCTCTTAAGTGTGTCTTCCTTGGTTACTCTAGTTCACAAAAGGGCTATAAATGTTTTCATCCTCCTACAAGTAAATACTATGTGTCTAGGTAAGGAGGAGGATTCATCTGGGGGAGATTAGTAGTAAGGAAGAGGAACAGTTATAGCTGGAAAAAAAGAGGTTGTGGATTTCAGGTAAGGAGGAGGATTCAGCTGTTATGAAAAAAGGAGAACCTTTAGATACTCTTGATCATGTGGAGACTGAGTTCGATGAAAAAATAGGTGAAAGACCAGCCCACTAGTTCAAAGAAGTATATGTGAGAAGGTACAAGGATGCCACTGTCATGCCGACTCCTTCTAACTCTAGTACCCCTCTTGATGATATTACCATGCCATCGGATGAATCTTCTAGGATTAACTCTGAGGTACATGTTTCTTCTCCTTTAACTTCAACTTCAGATATTAATTCTAACCTTGTAACTTCTGTGGAGACTGCTGCCTTGAATCCACAGGTTGGTGATCAGGGTAGGAGGTATCTTTTTCGTGATCGTAAAGAACCTGATAGGTTGGGTTTCTCCAAATTTTCTTCTAATGTTGTCTATCCTATCTCTGATTTTGTTTCCTATCATCGTCTGTCTAAGACTCACCTAGCTTTTGCCCTTCAGTTGTCTTCTGTGTCTGTTCCTAGTCATTTTCAGGATGCGCTTGGAGATCCTAAGTGGAAGGCTGCTATGGTAGAAAGAAATAAAGGCTCTCCAGAAAAACTCTACTTGGGAGTTGGTCGAATTGCCTCAGGAAAAGAAGACAGTGGGATGTAGGTGGGTGTTTATAGTGAAGTGTAAGTCAGATGGGACAGTTGAGAGGTACAAGGCTAGACTAGTTGCCAAGGGATAAACTCAGACTTATGGGATTGATTATCAAGAGACCTTCGCTCCTGTGGCCAAGATGAACACTGTTCGAGTTATACTCTCTCTCGCAGTTAATTTGGACTGGCCATTACAACACTTTGATGTGAAGAATGCCTTCCTTCATGGTGATTTGATAGAGGAGGTGTATATGGATCCTCCCCCGGGGTTTACACCTGAAGGAGGTAAGGTATGCAAGCTAAAGAAGGCTTTATACGGGTTGAAACAATCACCAAGAGCATGGTTTGGCAGGTTGAGCTACTCAATGAAGAAGTATGGTTTTAAGCAAGCTTTGGCAGATCACACTCTCTTCTATAAGAGCAATGGTGATGATATTACTTTGCTTATCGTTTATGTGGATGACATGATTGTTATAGGTAACAACACCAATGAGATAGAGAAGCTT